ATGTACTACTCATATGGTTGCTGAAAATCAGCGACCTTGCTGATTGAGTTTCGTGAGATGCGCACTGCTGATGATTCCCAATAAAGATGAAACAGCTGTACAGCACTTCTCAGCTTTTTAGCACAGCTTAACCCCTAACTTGAAATTTGAATTGAAAATCAGTAGAGATAACGTGAAAGCATCGGTACTGAATTCGCTCGAAGAATGGACGTTGCAAATTTCAATTTGCCTTAGCGACAGAACAAAGAACGACAAGATTCACCACCCTAATACAACCCTTCCCTGTCATTTCCAACAGCAACAAATTCTGATGAAAAATGGATGATATAGCGTGAAAAGTAAGTACCGTTATTGATCGTTACTGATGAAAAATCCAACAGTAGTCCAAACTCATGTGTTTAAAACATAAGTTTGAGTTTTGCAATAAGAAATGCAAGCGCTAAATGCGATTGGTGGAGAGGAAACGTTTAACCTAACTAACCATCACAGGTCCTTCCATTCATCCGGTACTTGGGTACCTGAAACACCAACAAGCTTATTCATGAACGGAATACTAAAATTCACGCAAGTGCACAAGGTTTCCAGTGTAGATCCGTTGCGACATATCAGTCTTCCTGGATTTCTTCGCGTCTACCACAATATTCTGCCGCCAAATGTTACTGAAGCCTTCGAAAACGACTACGTGTACAGCTGTGACGCTCATATGTGCAGCACTTAATTCTGAGAAGCGATAGAGGGAGAAGACATTTCTGGGTTATTGTACCATTTCGAACAGTCTTGTCAACCACAGTATGAGTCACGTGACTGACGAATAGATAAATGTGTGACCAAGCATTGGTCATCTGGAAGTCAAAATTTTGATTGGAGGGCACAAAGCCAGTTACGCGAGTAAGGGTGACTTTGCAAACTTTTACTACTAAAACATAGCAGTGGTTTTAAAATGGGCTGAATAGACTTGATACACGAGTTTACGCCTGCGAAGTATTTCCGCATCACAATCTTATCACCTCGATTAGTAATTAGAAGTTGATCACGTCTCTTCACAACTGTCGTCATCTACTTTTCCTGTTACAGTTGTGTTAGACCTTGAGAAAAAAGCCACAAAAGAAAGCTGTGGCCAATTTTGATGCATTCATCTCTACCAGTATAGAATTCCCTAACCAAAGCATAGTTTGATTCCAGATCAGCGATCTCTTATCCCGTAGAACCCTCAACTACGATTCCTGAAAATTCGTATTCCTAACCTCACCTCTCCCTTCATCGATTGACGAGTTATCATCGTCTTCACAGTTCGTTTTGTTCCTCTTACCGTCACTGAAAGACCATTTGCAGCATAATCATAAACGGATATACTGACGGGCCTGAGTTGGCACACTGTTTGCCTTTCGTGTCCTCACTGGGTTTCATCACATCCTCAAGCATCACCACTCCAAAGACAGGCCATTCCTTGGAAAGTTTGCAATGGCCTTATCTGTCAGCCACGATTCAGCTGAGTGAATCGTCTCAAGGTGGGGATATTCACTGCTCACACAGTTTTCTCTCCTCGGAGCAATCGGTGAGAGTTTGTCGTTCGAGCAGTTTTAAAGTCTTTAGTCCAGATTAGACTGAGGCGACTTCTCTTATTTACGTCCCGGTAAATTATACAGCAACACCCAATCAACAGCGCACTGAAGATGTCTCCTTGAATGGTGAGGAAACGTTTGCAAATCAATTGCCAAGCTCGGCGAACAGATCAACAGCCACCTGATCAATTACCAACCAATACACCCGAGCTACCAATATTCCAACACATTACCATACAGCAAATCTGTTACCAGCTTCCAACATCTGATTTCTTTGTGGGCGTAAACTTCATAGGATGAAATTCGTTCTAGTAACCTAGATTCGTCGTAACCGATGCTATGAAAATATTCGGAAGAAAAAACTCAGTAATGCACAATTGATAATCATCGACGTCAGTCGCATCAGCTACCGTTTGAGAAGAAACTATCCGAAGCCAGTCATCACTGGCACTTTGCCAGAATTCACTGGTGAGGCTCTGCCTTTCAAACATGTCTCTAATATGTAGCAACGCAACTTAAAGAATCAATTAGGTAGATTTTCACCAGCTGATTTCAACGAAGATGCCTGATTCTTGGCTATTTCGAAAAGCTAATCGTTCAGCTGTAGCACTCTTTCGGTGCCTAACTTCCACGCCACCCGAACGAAGCACGAGGGCTGGGATACTGCCAGGTTGCCCAACCCTAGACAGGGGAAGTCGAAAGGCGGAGGTCAGGTTCGAACCACGGACCTTCCAGACAGTAAATTCAATTCGTGCTTCCATCTCGCCCCCTAGCTACTTCACAAAGCTGCTGTAATCCTGTGCCTCATTGTTCCGAAATTTGTTAAACATGATCCCATCAAGTGGTTTCCTTCCAGCGTGGTAACTTTTTTCCTTCTAACTTTGAATGGTGTAAAAGTCCAGTTTTTCCTAATCAGTCAGCTAAGCGTTTCAGGTATTAGACCTGCGTTCACAGTCTCATAATGGAGCTTTGGTTGTCGATTTAACCTATTTTTTACTTAAACAGGTTCGGTCGATTATAATATCGATTAGAACAACTTGGCCAAACAAGCTTAGCATGGGGGAATTAAAGTTTCAGTATAATATACACATTTTACAAAGCCCTTACGATTAGCCCATGGCGATCATCAGTACACACAAGAGGGAACAAGTGAAATTGAAATGGGCTTTAAAACACTTCGTATTGTTTGCATTTCCTTACCTCTATTGACAGAGGTGTCGTGTTTGCTGATCAACCGGATACTTTATGGGGTGGAAATTTCTTTCGGAAGAAGTGCTTTTTATGAGGGAGAGAGAGAGACTGCATGGGTAAGCATAGCGCTTTTCTGCCGCTGATCATTCCAGCACGATCATTTTAAAACTCGAACTTCTCGGTTGTATAGCAATGTAAGTCCAACTTGGCCAACAAACAGACAATGATTGATCACATGACCCTTTCCGGCTAGTCGGCGAAAACATACGTAATGTGAGTAGTCTCGATTGCACGGCTTGCACATACGAATGAAAAATTAGCTTTATAATCACCTTTAATTTGTCAAACAAAATCCATTTAGAACAGATCCGTTGTAGCATAGCTCTGTAGGTTTAAGGGGTGGAGCTAGCCCGTGCTCGGCAGTGTTTAACTAACTGGATTTGACAGAAAAATATTCAGAGAGAGACCGCTTCATTTCGGTACTGAGAACAGTCACGGAGCCTGCCTTAGGACAATTCTGAGGATAAAAAGACCTTAAACATAATGTAGTAGTCATACCCAAGAATGGGTTTATCAAGATTCCAAAAGACCACGTTGACATACGATGAAATAAAATAACCCTGGGTATCAGTGTTTGATTTTTTGACGTTTTGGTAACTCCAATGAGCTTTGCCAGAATCAAAAGGCAGGGAGAACAAAGAAAAACTATCATCTTCCAACACAAAATGGTCGTATGATTGGGTATGCTGACCTGTATGGTTTGAGGCTCAGGTGGAAGCATCAGACATCCGGTGGGTCAGATTATTGGTTAGCCTAGACCATCTTTTCAGTTGATTTTGTGTGTTTGGTTCGAACCACCAAAGGGCTAGCACAACGCCTTTCTTCATGCATCAAAAATCCCGTTTGGACCGATTTAAGAAGAGAGTAAGATCTGCTACAGCCTCCGGAACAATGCCGGCACCCCCTCTGATTTTCCGTACTGAAGGGAGAATCGAGTGTGTCTCTTATGATGTGCAACACTTGTTTCAAGTTGCTTACGACTTTCTGACATGTAAATAGAATCGCAGTCCCCAATACAGTCAGTTCGCCCACCTGGAGATACGAGGAATGCTGGATCAGTTAGACGCCTTGACTGGAAACCTGCATGAATGAATATCAGACGAAACGGTCCAATTTATTTTGGACTTCTGCATAGAATGAGGAATGTGTACCGTGGGATCACGACTAATGGATATCCAAACCAACCATATGTGTAGGATGTTCACATCAACTACAAAACCTGGCACACACCTCATGAGTAGCCAGCTGATTTCGCTGTGGTAGACGTTATCTTTGTCGTCTATTTGTCGCTTCTGAGAGTTTTGGTGGTTCGAAACTAGCAGTGACTGTGGCGTACCAGTTGATCAATAAACTCAGGTACACTGCTTAATGTTACTTTGTCATAAGTGAACTAAACTAAGTGTTGTTCCCTTGGTGTAACACACTACTCGCAAGCGTCCTTAAAGTTCCTCGACAACCCACGAACGGTTTTGCCCTTCTTGGGGCTCATCAGGTAGGCGCAGTCTCTGAGATTTCGTCAACTTTATGTTCTAATTGGACCCCATTTGGACAGATTTTGTCAAACACTCTTATTTGCACACGTACTTGGTTCTGACTAAAGACTCAACTGAATCCAGCCGAACCGTTTCCGTTCAAACTAACTGTTCCACACAATGCTCAATCTACCAGAGTTCAGTCAACAAAATATCTTCGTAAATGATATATTATTAATATAACTTCAAACGTACCACCACCTAGTGTCTGTGCATTTAAGTGGAGCAACCACGCGTAAATTTCGGACTGGTTTGTTTCCCTTCGAAGTACAAGAAGAACCTCTCCATGCCCATCTTCGACTAAGTCTCTCCTTACGGTTTAAAGCATTATCATCTGTTCCCATCAAATGTTCATCCCATGGAAGCAAGAACTTCGTGTCCGGCATTTAAAGGTGAACAGCTTGAGGAAGAGGACACTCTCGCGAACTCTCCTAAACTGTATATTCTGGTGCGGTTATCACTACGTGCTTCGTCCCAGTTGAGACACATTAGACGTATATACCAAACTCGTCGTTCAACCTCTTAGTGAACATAAGGTTGACGGAAACTCGGGGACTGCGCCTACCTGATGAGCCCCAAGAAGGGCGAAACCGGTCGTGGGCTGTCGAATAGTTTTCAGCAACCTTGTGAGTAGTTTCCTCTTATTGAACAGTTTTCATCGTTTACATCAGCTAAGCCGACAACAAAATGCCCACGGCCTTTGTCGACTCTATGGGTGGCCTCATACGGAGGACATCATTACCATTAACTTTCCCGAAAAAAAGTCTCATAAGATTGGTGCTTATCAGGTCTTTCGTGAGCACCGTCAGGGATAAAGCTGGATGACCCTTCAATGCCCTCAGACAGCCACATTCCTTGACAATGTTCGATGCAGACGTCAAACTGTTAATGAGCTTACTTGTATACCAAGCCGTTGCAAGAGATGGAGCAGAGCTGGATCTGGTGCTTCGGCAGAGCGTGGATCTGATGTGACATTATTTGACAGGATACTTTTCACCGTCGAGGTAAGGTTAACCAATTGTCCACGTGCACTCTGCATTCCCCAAGAGCATTCGTCCATTGTTACCACGTTCTCAACTAGAGGCAATGTTTCATAAGTGTCCATAGTGGGGCTACTAGGAGCAGACTGGCTAATATCTGACTGGTAAGGCGAATGGACCCCGCCCAACCGGCCGAAGAATGGACTGCATGTGGTAATAAATCCGGGACGTCGACGAGTTCTCAGTGTTGTCGGGCGGCTCGGAATGCGGCACCTTCGACCGAATGTTGAGGTAAGTGGGTATGGTGTTCTCAGATTGACGGGGTCTTCTTCATCCTGACTACTATTTGGCGAAGTGGGAGCCGAGGAGGAGATCACACTCATTGCTAGGTGGAAAGAAAGGGAAGTTGGATTAGATGTTCGCAGTTGATTAATAAATGGGTTGCTGCATCAATTGGTTAGGTAAAATTTGTGATCAATGCAACAAAGTATACTTGGAATTACTTCCTTGAGTTACAAAAGTATAAAGAAACAGGTAGATTCTTGGGAGATTACCACAATGGCCGAGTTTTCTTAACCGTACAAACTACTTAGAATATCATCCTGCGTCTCACGTAGGATGGACAGTGTGTCGTCTTTTCCGCATTATTCTGCAACAGTATATCCACTCTATACTGTTAAAAGTTCATCAGCTTATATTTAGTTACATGGCACTGAAAAGCCGCTCTCCTTTCCCGATTGCATAGGCTAAGCAACCTCCCAAATCCTTTGCTTTTCTCAAGTTGGTTTTGACTTTTCAGTGGCATGGGAACGTTACTGATAACCGCCCTAGTTGGCTTCCTAACGAATGGTTGATTCTATTCCCTATCCCCATAAAAGCATACTTGTTCATGGTCAGCTGTAGTCTAATTCGGGAAGCTGCAACGTTCGAAATTCGACTCACTTAAGCGCTGAATGTGACGTTAAGAGGAACCGGAAGACCTAGGGACTGGTTGCATTGGAGGCAAACAACATGGACGCGAGGAATGAGGTCCAAGAAAAACCAGTCATAGTTTAAGCCTCGAATACATTTATTCCGAGTTCACCTCTAATATGAACAGCTCGAAAGTTTTGGGCTTCATTCTAGTTCCATTGTTGCCAAAGTGCGCAAGACATCCAATTCTCTATAAAGTAATGGGGGCAAAATTTCAGTGATCTATGTCACACGTAAGATGGTGCGATTAAAGTGTACTTATGTGAACGAACTAATGCCGGAAAGTATTTTGGGTCGTTGCATTCGGGTAGATCCATTCTGTGATCTTGATATGCATCCGTACGGGGGGGGGGGTTCGGGAGCCGTGTTGTTCCCAAGATTCTTTACAGGTAAGAAGAACTGCCACCAAGTCGGGCGAGGGGCGCAGCTACCGTAGATTTGACGGAATTATAGATTTAAGCCATCCCTACTACTCACAAACTGACTAAAATAATGCGTTCTGCAGCCTTTCTTCGGACGGTAATATGCCACATGCAGAAACACAGGGAAACCTATCAGGAAGGTCAGTTTCCTGAAAGCAACCACTGAATGCAATAAATCTACCGAGACTCTCAGATCCGCTAGATGTTGACTAGACAGACAACACCCCCTCAACATGCAGCGCGTCACAGCCTTGTATCAAACCCAGACAGCGCGAGTCAGCGTTGATCAAGGTCATACAACGCCCCCGCAATTTGCAGCACGTCACAACCTCGTACCAGATCGTTTGCGTCAGCATTGGACTAGGTTCAGATGGTGTCCTTTCAATAAATAGCTTGAGACCGTTGTATTCTCGCTCTCGTACGCAGTCACACTCTCGCACTAGCTTGTTCGGAATATAACTGTTGTGTTCCCTTCCAACTAGCCACTGGAGTTGGTCAGCAGCAGATACCTCAGATTGGCGAATCAAAACCTGATGGAGGTCCAGAGGTGAAATTTTGTGTAGTGAGACCAATCATTCGTTCTGTGGACTCTTCTGGGAGGTGGCCTCATTTTGGATGTTTTACTATAGTAGTGGGGTCCATCATGCAGCTGACTCGTTATTCAAACCTGGCTATGTTAGAATTGCTCATCGTGGATTAGGAGTTTTAAAAAGAACATACGCTTTTTGATGGCAATATAGTAGGAAATTCCGAGATTGCACGATCAACGGCCGCTCAAACCCGTATTTCCTGACGGTAGCGAACAAATTTAGCGACACCAGAGTTGTAATTGTGATTCAGAGGAACAGTGCTTTCAAACAACGCTTTTTACGCTTGCACCACATTCAGATTCAGTTTCTCTAAAGGGTGGTTAGCCGAGCAAATTCGTTGGACGGATGAAGCACCGCATAAACGATACTTTCGGTTTCTTTAGGCTGCATGTTGACTCATCACATCACATTTCAACACGCACGAGGATGTGTGGACAAACACGCAACAAAAGTTCACGCACTGAACGTGGACACTACTGCACGTCTCTGTTGCACCTGCATCATCCCAGTTTGACGTACCGCGATTAACTGGGTATCACAACACCTGGTGGGCTAATTCTATCCGGCGCGACATGTGTGCCAATATGAAAAACACGTGTTCTCCACTTGTTGCATGTTAACTGTGTTCTCCGGTCTTTCCAACCATTTACGACACTGAGCCCACCACACTTGAGAGCCGTAGAAACATGATGCGCAAATCGGTTGTTATGACGACCAGCCGCATAGACGTGCAGTGGCAGGCTGACTAAGTTGGTCTTGGTGAGTGGCCTGTTATATAGGCACTTCAGCTGAGTGGAGTCGATAAATGACCAACCAGGAGGTGCTGCCCTCACAGTCCCCAAGGTTGGATAGCCTCTATCCCAGGGACTATTGTATCATGACTTTTGGAGGGATTTCGGTGACGTTCATTCGATAGATAAAACAGACTATCGAGGTGATTCCTTTCAATTTAACTGGTAGATTGTTAATAACATTGACAGAAAAATGACATCCAAGGTCAAACGACTGTCCTAGAAACCCTGATGGTGTAAAAAGATGTCCGTTTTTGGTGCTGGCCGTTATGAATATGGAAGGGTGATTCTGGTCAGCGTTGTGTTTTGTGACAATTGTCAATTGAAAGCCCGTCAGATGATATCCTCACGCCATGGACAAATGCCATGAGGTGTTTGTCAAAGGGCTTATTACTAGTTTTCCAAGACAATCTGAAATAGTAAGTATCCGGACCAGATGGAATCCGAAGTATTTAAAGGTTATGAAAATAATGGTAACTCTAACTAGCTCAAACTCGAGTTCTCAATGAATATCAACAAGTTTCGAGGCTGACCAGAGGATTTTAAGGTAAAATGTATATTGCGCACAATAGGAGACACAACGTATTCAGCATTCAACTCTCTGAGAAACATCAGCCAATCATGAGGCAGGTATATCGTGAAACTGTCAGAAGTGCAAACCAAACCGAGGACTTGTCTAGCAGCTATTCTGAACATTTTATAGCATTATTGCACTGAGATTCTCGTTAACTAAGCACAGCTTCCATTCGTCAAGCTCAGAACACAATTTGAAAGAGGAAACGTGTAGGAATTTATGGACTCGAGATATCAGTCTTCCAGTGGAGGTGGCCAATCATGCCAACTGTATAAAACTAACGGACACTTTCTCCGCACGTAAGTGGACAGAATTACACATTTACAAGGTAGTCATCAATAGTCTTGCAGTAAAATGACCGGCAAAGTGTAGGTAGTCTGTTCAGATGGACTCTTTTATGCAGACAGGATGCAGAATGAGTCACAGCCGAGTGATTGACCCTTTCGACAATCTGAGATAATTTGTAAATGTCCTCTATTTCTGTTCCTTGCTTTTGAAAAAAAAACGGACAAAGTTTGTCTGTTTGGATCAGTTATCCCTGTATAGTTTATGATGCAGGTCCTTAAGAAAGGGATTTAGACTACGTTACTCTCCCCTGTTTATGGGAAATGAAAAAAGGTCTTGTTCTTGTGACAGAGGAGAAGCTTCCTGGACGGATCGTACTATCAAAGACGTGCATATATCGTTGAATGGATCAGTCAAGATCGTATTCACCCTCACTCTCTACGTAGCAAAATCAAACAGTCTCGAATAGTGAGTCAAACATAACAGCTGACATTTTTTCGGATTAGCGCTGCTTCTTGTTCAGTTCGTTACACTTAGAAGTCACTACCGAATAGCTGTCAAATCACGGATCGCTGGTGGGAACTCCTTGAGGATAACTATACTAAACTGCTCTTTTTTCAGATAGAGGTACGACGAAAACTCGGATCCCTGCTTCGGCCAAACAGACCAGAAGGAAACAAGTGTTCAGAAAGCAGATAGGAATCAAATCCGGAGACGTGAAATAACAGAAGACAGTCAAATAGTGGATAGCTAAGTGAGAAGATTCAATAATACGGGCTGGCTGGCTGAAGCCGAGAACTTTCGAGCACTTTGTGAACGAGAACGATCTGTTTGAAGGAACTTGTGATTCGCACGGAAACGTGTTTCCCATTTTCTCATCCGAGGTATCGATTCGTCAAGGAAACGCTCGCAGCGCACCAGCGATTATGGATTACGTCGAGGGCGAATCTACCTCGTATAGAAACGATCTTGTGTACAAATAAACATTTTCTCACTTGTCTGGCTTCCTGTTACCCTATAATGTTCAGTCTCAGTTTATCACATTTCGTCCAAATCAACTCAGTGATTTGTTCAACATGACACTGTCGAGCCTACTTATTCCCCAGTTGTGCCACTTGCAATTTCAAGCCTCTTTTTCTCATTATATTCGTCCATCTCTGGGGTATAAATCGCACTGTGGGCACGCACGCGGTTGTTAGCTCTGATGGCTGTCCACACAAGACCTTCGTACAAGTCGCACATTTTCTCTGGTCTTGTCTGTAGTAATAACGATACTGCTTGAAACCCGTGGCACACGGAGTGAGCCATAGCTCCTGATCGGTTCGGATTCAGTTATGTTTGTATGAGATGTACCTGCAATCGGGAAACCCGAAGTTGAAAGTAGAGTCAAGCTTTGACCTTATGACTGTTTTATCAGCTTGGTGGTGGGTGGGAGATGCTGAGGTTTATAAAGAATCGATTTCAAGGTAATAGTTGATAGATAGTCATCAGCTCACCAGTTGGATCAACACTGATCGCCGTCCTGGCATGCTCGGGTTGGTAGACAGGCACGGGGACAAAAGGTAGACTGCAGGGCACTCCACTGATTCGGTTATGAATTCTTCTTGCTGTTCCTGCGGATGCTCGCTGAAGCATGTTCAACATATCTGGCTGGAAAGAATGAGGGGAAAAGTGTTGTGCAACACATGCTCAGGGTTGTATTATCAAAGTACTAGGCGTCGTTAGTAGTGACCTACTTGGCCAAATAGAATTCACCAGCAAGTGATATCCAGTTACAATGTTATATTCCCGACTAACACAAAGAGTTCCAGTCACCACCGTGTAGTTACTTGTGACCAAGAAGCTGTGTGAGTACGCATTATCTTTACGAGAACAGCTTAACCAATTCGAGTATGGGTCAAAGAGGAAGGAATAAGTGGATATATTAGGAATGGTAGTAACAGTATATTCTCAAGCGATAGTCTAAGCGTACGAAGCCAGCAGTGCAGGGTAGACTGGTTTACGTGGAACTGAGTCGACAATCTCGTCGTGAATAAAGTCACGGGTTTCTTAGTTCGTAGAAAGACAACCGGATACCAATTAGCATGACCCGTTAGATGGACATGGCAGGATTTAACTGTCCCACCAGCGCTTCTAAAGAGTCCAATTTGAGACGAATCAACTGGGTTGAAGAACAACTACGTGGAGAATGCAGTAATCTAGTTCCATTACTTAGCATATTACAAGTTTTACTGTTCTAGAGTAATAAAGGTTTTCCGATAAACTTATGGGACCGACAGAGTTAAACAAAAATAACCAAGCTTATCAGTAACAACCAGACTTCAAAGCCACACCACTCTCGTTTGAACGGCCGTGTTCCTGTTCTGGAGTAATTATTCCGGTGTGTCCACACCAAAGGGAAGCACTGTACTCAAGTTTCGCTCTTATTAGAGCTCATCAGCAGTACATATCCAATGGCCGTACCGGGATTTGAACCCCAGACATCTGACATGTGAGGTGAGTGTGTAAACACTACTCCACCAACGCACTTTGGAAGCATCTGAATTATCACGTCTGAACAGGCGAACGCGTTCACCTTGAGCGATGTGATTGGTGTGTGTGGTGTGGTGGAGTAGTGGTTACACGCTCGCCTCGCATGTCAGATGTACGGGGTTCAAATCCCGGCATGGCCATTGGATATGTACTGCTGATGAGCTCTAATAAGAGCGAAACTTGAGTCCAGTGCTTCCCTTTGGTGTGGACTCACCGGAATAATTACCCCAGAACAGCAGCACGACCGTTCAAACGAGAGTGGTGTGGCTATGAACAAACATACCTATCCCGCAAAACCGCAAAATTGCAATCAGACTTCAGTTGCTTTTTCTTCCATTTTTTGGTTCTACTTCAGCCAGTCCACAAAAGTCTAATACAATGGTTTCTGTTTATGTCCGCCCATTGCTTACTTGGGTGACGAGACAGTGACATGGCATGCGAAATTCGGAATCACAGATTCGAGGTCATCCAAGGGGTACAAGTGTGCCCAACTGGGTAGAGTAAAGTACTAGCTCTGAAAGGTTAATATTCAACTGACGGAGCCATTGCTTTGTAGTTAAAACATGCACCCATGTGGTTGGGTGACCTGATCCGTCGAACTGTGATCGCTAGCCGATCAATAGTTGCAGTCAGGTAGCTGAATGGCTGTTTGAGTCGACCGCATCGAAACCAACTGGTTGGCTTCGCTGTTTCAAAAATGATCAACATTAGGTCTTCAGTTAAAGCAAAGTTTCACGAAAAACTGAGATCCTGAAAACCACTGTTTTTGGAAAATAAACGGATTGTTGTATATCAGAAGGCGAATAGTAGAACTAGACATGTTTGTATCTAAATTAAATATGGTTCAGCTGTAGCACCCTTTCAGTGCCTAACTGCCATGCCACCAGAAGGGAACATTAGGGCTGGGATACTACGAGGTTGCCCAGGCCTAGACAGGGGAAGTCGAGAGGCAGAAATCGGGTTCGAACCACGGACCTTCCGGTCAGTTAATTTCCGCTCTAACCACTTGGACCATCTCGTTTGTATCTGGTGTTGTAGATAACATCTACATGCGTAACCTCCCTTTCACTGGCTTGATTTCAAGCCCATAAGCACCCGTATTCTTGTGGTTCCTCGAACGCGTTTTGTTGTTGTGCTTGCGGATGAGCGAAAGAATGATCTATTGTTTTCTTGCTACGCATATTTCACCCACAAAGTGTAGCCAAATTCCCTTATTGACGGTGAATGACGCTATAGAATAAACCTCTACTCTAATGCTTACTATTCAAATAGGTTGAATGGTAGGTTAAAATACATAAGAATGGTTTTCTGAATGGACCACCTCGTCCAAGACGATTCCATAACTACAAAGGAACACTAGGTACATACGGCTCGCCAATCCGATGATATTTTACCAACACAACCGAGATATGTATGTTTCATGTTGTGGTAGTGAATGTGTACTATTCTGTAGCCCTTCGTTTAGGTTTGGACAGACAGGAATAAGCGCACAGAAGACCTATTTCTTTTCAATCGTAAACTCAGACAGAGCAAATTGGGTATTAATCCAAAATATTAAGCAAGGTAAACATGCGGACATCGTCAACGTACAACAGAAAGTTATTGTCCATGTGACGCCAAAAATTCAACATCGAAAACACTGGTTTCCTGCTAGAACACGTTTTATTGCTCTCTTGCGTAGAAATGTCCCTCAAGACAGGATGAAACAGGTTAGCTCCAACAAACTATGTGAATCGATTTATCCAGAAAATTCAACATTTTTGGGAGCATGAAAGCCACGTGGTTTTAGCTTGAAAGCTTAACTGTGAAGACTTTCTTTTACTCGCTGAACCCAAAACTCCCATGTGTAATGCTCAAGTGTCTCAAAATTAAGCCAACGGTTTCTCTAAAGTTCTCAGTCATGTAAAACTAAATCATACACCAATTATCCCCTGATACATGTTTAAATTTAGCAGTATTGAATGTCAGTTTCGGATGAAACAGGAATTGTTAATCAGGGCTCTCAACGTTTGTAACGCAGTCCGTTAGATGTGCTTGGTTGAGGGATTTCTAGGATTCACTCTTTCGGAACACTCCTCCCGCCTTTGCACAATTATTCTGGTGAGGCATCGTAATTGAATTTTGCTTATATGAAAGCTAATCGGCAGTGCATATCCTTGACCGCGCCGGGGTTTGAGCTCCGCACACCTGGTATGTGAGTTTGGTTTGCTCCACTCCACCAGCGCACGCTGGACGCATCAGAACTGTCAAGTCTGAAAACACAAAGTGATATGATTGACTGAACTGACTTCTCGAACAAACCCAGTAGTCGTTTTGATTGCGTCAGTCGATTGAGTCACCTATCACGAGACCACAGCCACATCACTCGGCTGTTCGAGGATTCTGAAGGTCGCATCCTTTCATTGTGGCGCTTGAACACCCTCGACCTCGACTTCGACTTCTCAACTACATATAGCTTCGTGCCTCAAACAATGTGAGGAACCTCGCTAGTAACTTTTGAACTAATCAGTAACATCTACTACTCCTCGTCCCACTATTGAGTCTGGCAAAATTTGTGATGTTGATCGCATTCGGAATAACACAGCACTGGTCAAAGACACCCGCTCACTGGTCATGCGGACAGATGAGTGCGCAGGTAGGATTGAGTTCATTTCCAGGAAGAGGCTCTGTTGGAAACCCTTGCGTTCTTCTCCAATATGTTACACGCAGTTTTCGTGAGGGTGTGCTGAATTCGGCATAAATACCGTTGAAACAGGCTAAAAATTGTAGTATGCTTTGCGCAGCTTCAAGGTCAACAACAAGGATTTGGTAAGTCAATTTTTATGCAGTCTCCTGTATTTTTCATAGCTACAGGAAACTGACAGAAAAACAGTGTGTGAAATTAATCCGGTCGAGTGAACTGTGATTCATTAATCTACATTTCCTCACGTAAAAGGTTTTCCTTAACATCCTGTCGCTAGTAAGTTGTGTAAACTTTCGAAAGAGTGCATGCATTAATAAAAATCTCGTACATTTTGCTTGTCTGACAGTGAATCGCGTTAGCTATCGTGACAAAAATTAGCGGATATCTTTCACCTCAGTAAGTAGCAATATCACCGTATTTCCGCCGAAAACCAGGTTACAAAGAAACCACAGTTCACAAGCACTCGTTACGACAGCTCCAGTTATATATTTGTATCAATAAACGGTGTGAAACCTGGAGTTCCTAGGTGATGAGGTTCCAGGAGAAACGTCCTCTTCTAATTTCTTATTTGCACTGCCAGTGTCATAAGGATATGGAATTCGCAAACTTATTTTCATCCTTGTGCAATCAGCCGTTATGTCAGCGAAGTCTTTTGAATGAGGGGTAATGGTATGGATGAGCACTGAGCACTTGATCCCCAGGAATGAAAATACACTTGTCTACCTGTGCACCAGTCATCGGTGGGAAGGGATTTACCTTTTTAGCCCATCGCACAGAGTTTGAGGTTCTTGGAGGTGAACAAATCACGTAAATTTTCCATAGAGGGAAATGTTGGTAGCTCAGGTAGCGTGGATGGTCGTTGGCTTGATGATGTTACCTAGATTGGTGACGGAACGTTTGCAATCAAATTGCCCAGCTCAGCGAACAAGCCAAAGAACACCGCGTGAATATTCAGCCCTAATATTACAACCAAGTGTGCTAGGTTTCAGCTATCTCAATGGCAGGTCGGTATGGTTGCTAAATACCCCCATTTCTATTCATTTTTCTTGCCGCTGACTCCCTGGGGGAAATTTCTGATACTTCTATCTGCAACGGTGTTCAGCCACACCATGAGAACGACTTCAATACCCGGAACACTCGGACGATATAACTGTCCTGTGATGAGCTTCGAAATGTGTCTGAACAAGTGGCAACCTTCATTTGCCATTTCGGACACCGTTTTTCCCCACGAAAAGTTAAGGTGTGACGAAAGACTGGCCGGGCAACGCTCAGATTCTCTCCAGCCAGGTGCAAAAATGTAGAAGTAAAAGGGTTCTTCGAAATCGCTTGTTTCGAGATTAAGTTAGCGTGATTCATTGTTAGGGCTCAAATGGGATTTGTAGCTCCTGTGCTTTGTGTTGGCCACAAGACATCAGTTTTACCTTGGAAAAATCGGATATACTACGTGATTAGCTTCTCTACCGTTGTTCAGCATATGGTTCCTTACATTGCTTACAAAACGTGATCCAAGAAAATATGAGCAACAGGACAGTGTTCCATAGAGGACAGTATTCTTGACCTATGGAAGTAAAACTGGTGCGGAATAGACTAGGATGTCCAAGAGAAGTTTTAAGTTTTGACGTCACGGGTTTCCTTGGCGTACCTTGTTTTTTAGCAGGTCAAGGACCAACAAGGAGATGTCGCAATATATCCTGACTGTTCAATTCGCCTGCATTTATCATTCGCGACGAAAAGTGATGATTGTAAGGGGATAAGGAACCTTGTCTAAGATGGTCCGGAAACGTAATCAGTAATGCTTATGAGGCACACAGGTCTTTTTTTGGAAATACTAGTGGAAGGAAGAAGGCCCTCGCTGCGGAGTCATTAGCTAGAAAATATCAACTAACCAGTTGCGGGCTATTGAACAGGGAAGCAAAACTCTCATTTGCGTCTTATTTACAAAAAAACTGAACATCCATCGTCTTTTGAACGCGTCTTCCTGAACTTTCCTGGGTATTCATTGACTGTTGCTCAAATCCAAGCAAATGCTACAAAGCGACTCCAAAATATCTGCAACGGATCTCTCTTTTCAAGAGACGCAAAGCGAATCTACAAGAAAACATACTACTCGCATGCCTCCCCAACAGTAGTATCACTGTTACACTAGGTCTAGTCAGGTACACGTACATTTAAACTTTGGTGAAAGTGATCACAAACGGGGCCAGATAATGGAGTAGCAAACTCACCATCTTAACCCTGTGCTCCTGATTTGTCAAAGCATTTTCCATTGCCGCTGTTGTTTCCACTAGCTCGGCAGATAGAAGGCCGGTCGTACTACTGGTATCTCTGCGCGTCCACCAGTTCAACTGGGGCATCAATGAACCTGCAGATTTAGAAAGACGGTAACGTGAAACACGACTAAGCAAAGACATCTAGGAGCATCAGCCCAAAACCTAGGTATCTGTCAGTAGAAGAAGAGGTTAGAACAAAAGAGGGAAAGGAGAGGGTAGAACAAAATTAGTCCGTGGGCTAAGGCTAAAGCAACGCAATAAGTCGGAGGTAGCTACAACACACCTCGCAAAATACCTTGCATCTGCGTACAGGACTGTATGCAACGGTAACTAGAAAGCCGAAATTATGAGCACTAAAAGGTGAAGCAAATATAATTCCAAAATATTTGTGTATACATTGTGAGTAAATTACGAATGTATCAACTGTTCCCAGTGACTAGGATAGATTTATTCCCGTCTAACTTGTCATTCGATGGAAATCAATCGCGTTCCACACCTTCAAGAGCGCGATGACAGATTCGGAAAAATTCAGCCCACCAATTCGCTGGTTTGTAATACATTCGGTGCACAATCGCCTGATTCGTCACTTGATATGTTCAGCTATGCATCGTCATCGTGGCCGGTGTTCATTTTACGTGGTGCTGAGTTGTGGAATGAGCGTGCATTTTGCTAGTAGGGATGAGCTAAAAGACTGAACTAGACCATCACCTACACAGAGATTGACCACTAGCATGATACAATCTTGCTGCTAACGGCCGAGTCTGTTGGAACCCGCAGAGAGCTCTTACTCAACCAGCATAAGGAGGAATGTCCGGTTATGTTTGCCTCAGTGTCCTCACTGTCCTCCTGACACAGTGAATCACTCAAGACGTCGAAGGGACCAACTGCGGAGGTGGACTACACATGTGGTGGAATTGACCAGCCTAGGCCGATTGGCCACGGGGAGATTAGGCACTATATGTATCAGCTGAAGACACGCAGTCAAGCAAACGAAACCAACATCGGTGAAAGTATTTATTTACTGAGTCGTGTGTACCGAGGATTCCTGTCCTCGCATTTCATAGAGTGAAGCACAATAATCGTAACACCATCAGGACAAAAGGTTGGCGTTGAGGCGAAATTTTCATACGCTAGCATCGGTGTCAAGAGTCCATATACCCCTGGCTTATCAAGACCTCATCTACTGAAGAAGTGCCTTAACATGCAAAAGGCCAAGGTCATGTGTTTACTTGGAAGACATCTGTTTGAAAAACAGAAAAAAGTATAGAGCGAGTTGAAATAAGAACGCAATGAACATCACTCTATCCTCATGAAGGAAACTACTCACAAAATTGCTGGTGAGTGCAATTCTCGGAATCATTCTCTTTCGTTAAGTGACTTCCGTAAAAATACTAGTCTACTCATTGTTCTACAATTATTCCAAACCGAATTCCTCAGGGCTTTTTAACGTTGCCAGACTTGCCTCTCTTCTAAGCTGACGACAGAAGATTACCGGGTTAGAAGATAGCTTCAAACATAAGTCAAATTTATAAAGGAAACTACTCACAAGGATGCTGAAAACTGTTCGACGGCTCAGTACCGGTTTGGCCTTTAATGGGGCAAGACAGACACTTGAGTCTTTTGCGAAAACCAACTTGATGTGCACATGAGTGTATTCGTCGAGATAAGCCGAATTCATTTCAAGTTTGGATGGGTTTATAGTTGATCGGAGTTTAGCCTCTGACACAAAAGATTCGTCCGGTCAAGTGAGTAGTTTACCAGTTTGACGGTTGTACGGCGGAAGAACCAATCGCCAAAATCACTTCTGATTAGTACACGAATTCAGTGTTGATTATAGTTTAAGGGCTATCGGTTAGTGTCAGAGTTTGAACCTTATGGTGGATGGGTTGAGGGAACTTAAAGTCGTTCTGATTGGGTTTTGTCCTTAATCTTTCGGTTCAGGGCATCAGTGATTTACTTTGTTGGCCTGAGGCACCCTAAACCGAAAGATCAGGGACCCAAGCCAGATAAAAACGATTTCAAATCTCTTCAGCTGGCATTTAGCACTGACTTAGCGAGGTGATCGGAACAGATCTTACTGAATAATTTGTCGTCCGCCTGAAGACTCGGCCGAGTTGTTAACCCACACACTCGGCCTGACGAAGTTTTCCTGTCCAAACGTTTCTAGAACAATTACTTTTTCCAACATTCAGATTCATCTGATCAACGCTTCCGGTTACTAGAACTTTCTCCGGAAAAACGATAGAGCCTGCCATAAGAATCCAACTCTACTACCAGGAACCACGCTCACATGTGTACTTTCGGTTGACATTTAACCAAAAAGAATTAGGAAACCAATCGTTCTATAATTTCGCGACGCTACTGAAGTTTACGGGTAATGAGCCCCGGTGAGCGCGGAAAACGCATTAAAGGTCAGTGTACCTAAACAGTCAGTGATTTTAAACGGATAAGTCCATGAATAGTTGTCAGCCCAAGACATAGACAAACATGGAGCCTTTTAGTCACTGATTCTGAAACAGAGTGGAATTGAATCGAAATAAGTCCTAAAACATAAGATTGATGGACACGTGCACCCTAGTAAAGCATCAGTCAATCAAGGTTGAAGTTTGTACTTCCTTGTCTACTTCTGCTTTTGTTCCATTATAGTAACTGTTTGCATGATCGTATCTGGTGATCATGAATTACAAGCCGAGCGCAATGCATCTCACAGTGCGCAGATAGATAATGGCAACAAACTAATAAAAACGATTAGATACTCAACAAAGTTAGTCACCTTTTGATTCGCGACCAAAGTGGATGACGAAAGGGACAAAGTGTAATTTCTACTCGACAAGTACACCGATTTGTATATCAATTTGATTCCACGGGAGACTCAACTGAATAATTTGGTCTGTGATATTCTTCAACTGAATGTTTGGCACAAATCCCGCCTCAAGTTTTAGTTGCTAGGATAGTTGAGCTATCACAGTAAATTTCCAAAGAAAAAGACTACTCACAAGGCTGCTGAAGAAGAGTAAAGTTGCCGCTATGAGTAGAATTTATTCTTTTGCGTTTAACTGGAAGGAAGTTGAAGAGCAACAGAAGCAACAGAGTCAGCTGGGGCAAGCATCGTTTGATGCCCAAAATGCCTATGGGGATAACAACTCCCGAGAGCTAGGTTTTCCAATCAATAAGCCAGCAAACCAGCTAAAGGACCACCATAAAGAGAGATTCAGCTGGGTTCAGTTGAATCTCCTGTCAAAATCAGATTCATGTGCAAATAATAGTATTGGGCAATATTTTTCAACTTGGGTTCAAGTATAACATGAGGTTAACGGACAGTAAGGGATTGAGCCCCAAAAGGGACGAAACAGGTCATGGTTGTGAGTAACATACTACATCTAAACAATAACTGGCAAATTACTCCAACCAATCAACCAACGAATCTAACAGCTGACCGACGGACTGACCAAATAAGCAAACACGATGGGTATGTTGCAACCCTTCTAGTTTCGAATGGACGAAAACAATTGTTGTGATTTCAAATAATGTAACCCAACTGGTACTTCGCCACATACTAAAACCCTTCAGAATTCGGTGAAGTCATTTCACGAAGGCCAAAGTTTAACAAAAAAATTAATCCACTATGGTCGAGATTGTGTTCAGCGCCGCCCGTTTTTCGCACTTGTGAAGCTAGGTGGGAGTTTGTTGGCTAGCCCTTTCAGTAAACTCGCGACATTTTCTGTTCATTCGCGAACCAGTTCCTAGTTTTTCTTCAATATAATAAAAATATGGAACCATTATGTCTTAGGGTAGACTAAATATAACTAATCATCGAGTGCCGAGCCGGCGGGTAATGGGATGTGAATCCAGCAACCATGCCAGACAGTTTTATTCCACCTTGCCTTGTAATACATTTGTTAGTAGATGTGTCTAGACCACGCTATTCGTCGATCGGAAATTTGACAAGTGGGCGTCGACCGCCTATTCGTCGCATCACCATTGACAACGGTGCGGAGATCGTTTTAAACTTTTAGTTGTTTGTATTTCCCCTGGTATGCGAAATTGATTTTGGCAGATCCACAATGTGTGAAGTCAGGAAAGGATCAGTTATGCTGGTTCATACGATAAAGCGATATGACGTAGGGTTTTATAGTTCCAGTTGATTGAGCTTGACAGCTGTTGCGTAGTGTACACCGGTTTCTGCATCTTGGAATAAAGTTTGTAGGTTAGCTAATCATGGTAACATAAGCCCCGGTTAGGGATGCTCTCCCACACTCATCTAACTGATTGACACTAATTGCCGCTTGCCGCGTGGATCAACAAGGCGAAGCGTTGTAAAACTGATATCTCGATGCCCATGCGATCGACAAAATATCATTAATCTCATCTCGCTATGAACTTTCCTTTCAGAAAACCCAGGACAGCGAAAAGGGGTTTCTGGATAGTTTGTTTCACCGTCTATTAATAGCTCGAAATTGGTTCCGTATTTTCCCAGTTTACACTCGAGAAGTAGCGTGCGGCCGCAAGAGAGTAAAGTTTAGAAAGCCCCAACTGGATAGCGTATATATGCAATTTTCCGCAAATCTCCATTCATAACTGTCCGTCTTTTCATCGAAACGAAAATATCTACTGAACTCCCAACACTGACATGTTATCTTTGTCGCCGATATGATAGCTGCGTTCCGAAATTACTTCTCAAAATGATTTCAAATTTTTTACCGCAAACTCCACAAATATTCCGTATGCGAATGGCCCATTGGAAACTTGGGGCCAGGGTCTGTCATTTGAGACTTCAATCATCTGAAGTGAAATAAATCCATCGCCGATAAAATATCGGTCGTTATGCCCTGAGCTCATCGTATGCCTTGTTTCGTCATCGTAGACGAACAAGCCAGAACTTATCAGTACTTTGAGCGACCAATCTTATGGAAAGTATGATGCTACCTATTTTCACAATGATTGAGGTGTGTCACTCGGCGGATACCTGCGGTGGACGCAATAAACATCACACCATTAGGTTGTTGTTTGCATCCAGGGAGCGCGGTCAGTTCAGTACCTCGCGTAGAGCTTCCCTCACGTGACGCAAACACTGGATGACAGATTATCTGCTTCTTCTTGCATATACTGATGGCGAGATGGCCGAAGTGGTTGGATTGCGAATTACAGACCGGAGGGCCCTGTGGTTCGAACCCGACATCTGCCTCTCGACTTCCCCTGTCCGGGCTTGGGCAACCTGGCAGTATTCCAGCCCTCATGCTTCCTTCTGGTAGCATGGCAGCTGGACACTAAAAAGGCGCTATAGCTGAACGATTTTTTCTTGCATATACGATCTAGCTCAGAGAATGGCGGTAAAGGCAGCAAATGCAGAGTTTGACAGAAAAATCCACAAGAGAAACTAGCCCAATTAATCGTCCATTCATTCTCGTTTGCCAGAAGGGTGCCTTGTAGAAACGGCGTGGTTGATTTGTCATTTTTGCAATAAGGTGATTAACAGGGCTTCAGACTGCACCTGTCGTTATTCTTCGATCGACTGCTTGTCCTAGACCTAACCTGCACTTAGAATGTGGCGCTACTCAGTCCTCAAGCACTGCTTCGCTGTTGACCTCTCTCTCTCTCTCTCGAGTAGCAACTTGTCTGATAGGAGGCCAAGAAATTTATAAGACGTTTTTTCATTCTATGCAGATTACTCATGGTTTTCAGTCACATTACTTTCTCTTTCTAGGGCAAAACCCACAAGGATGCTAGGAATTTGTTCGCGTTGAGATCTCTCGCAAGGCAAACAAGTCCACCAGGACCGGGGAGAACAGTTTCTGGCTTCTCGAACGACTATTCATTCCTCCGTAGGGATTTATTCATTTCGTCTACATGAATACATCATTTTAAACGAACTGTTATCGGCACCGCTGGTACACTAACTCGTTTTGGTGGGCAATAGCTCTTCACTGTACTCAACTAAAATTAGCAGATAAATAAGCGTTGCAAAATCCTGGACTAGCATTCGTTTGACGCAAGCTGAAGCAGAGGGAAAAACAAAGCATGGCAACCGATTGCTGGCCGAGTTCGCATTAGTCACCATCGTTTTGACATTACTCATAAGGTCGCTGAAGACACTGGGCATCTCACTATTGATTTTTTACTTCTTGAGATAATTTTGGTTAACCTAGTGTGTGAAGCTCTGTCATTAATATTTCTCGTTTAAACACCGAATTCCAATATCCTGCAGTGAGTAATCACTTTAAAATTGGTTTGGTTTTAATGAGAGACTCAGATGAATCATTCCTGAATCCAGTCTATAACATTCTTCTACCGAATGAGCTACACAAGCGTCGTTGTGTATTTGACCTGGAACAAGACATCACAGCGCGTTTCATTACTACTCATAAGGTAGGTGCAAAGTATTGTTCTGGCAACTATATTCAAATAAGGTCTCGTGTCAGGCTGACCGCTCTTGTCCAGTTCAGTAAGAAGATAGGATCATCAGTTAACACTTCCATAAATATATAACAACCATCATACAACTTTGACCTGGTTGAAATGATTTGTGTAGGGCATTTGGTTCGGATGAAGTGAAGAATTCCAAACCTTCTCCCCAAGGAATGGGGAATGTTTAGAGTGAATACCAGTGCCCTGGTGCAGAAAGCCCATTTCTGACCGGGCAACCTTTCACGAAGTGAGAGAGGACTCTCTAGGGAAATCAGTTCACGTAAAAATAAGTGAGTTGAACCACCCAGCTGGAGAATATATGGAACCATATGCTCAGTAAATCACGCTACTAATTATCCAACCGCGGTCGAATTGTGTTTAAAAGGGAAGACTCGGGTCGTCTTGAAATTCGTGAGGCATGTACTGGCGATCTGTGACTACAGTGCCTTATATACTTTAGACTGACCTCATTCACAGCGCAATTTTTCAGCTGAGATCCGAATATTCTGGACGAAAACTCATTGATATTCCAGAATTACTGATATTGATATTGATGTCCCATTAAACTGTGTTAAGGGTTCATCGAGTCTCCTGGCACTTCCATGGGTTCCAGAATTTCTAAAACTGATCACCAGATCGGCTGGTTATTGAGATTAGTTAGACAGACAAGCAAAAGATCGGCCTGTGGGCAAAATTTCCACCCACGTATCAGTGATAACCGATGTTTCAGTTGAGCATTTTATGCTGATTGGGTGTGCAGCTCGTGCTCCGAATTGGAACATCAGATATCCGCGTACGACAACTTGTCCCATCGCCCTGACATTCCTCATTCGTTCAGGTGCAGTACGAGACACCGAGCGGATGCACTTTTCTGGAAAATCCTAGAAACTGTTATTTGTTTGAGTCCCACGTCCCTCTGTGCATACTCTCCGTTAAGTAGAGCTGGTGTTTGGCAAAATCAGAGCCTCCGTTCTTATTTACGTGCGATAAAATCGTCGCCTCCTGGAAGGTTCTTTGTGAAGGGGTTTGTTCTCATAGTATAAGATACTGTTTGAAGTCTTGTACCGCCAAGAGTTCCTTTAGTGTATCACAGGTATTCGCTCTCGCTTCTCTCATCTATCGGCTCTGGTGGCCGCGTTATTTTAACCTTTTAGCCAAAATAGATGTTACAAGTAACATCTACACTTGATACTGTTGTGATTCTCGCCAATAAAAGCATCATTTTCAAATTTTTACTTACTTTCTCCAAGCTGCAAACCGTGTGCTCTAAGCTTACGGATTATTAATGTTTTTTTGCGCAGGTAGCGCCACCCGGCGGAGGGTCAGTTACTATTATCGATTCGTCGTAATTTTTCCACACACACTGTGTACTCATCACAAAAAGCACCAATTTATTTCCAAGACGCACTTTTGTACAATGGCGGTTAGTGAGTGAACTCCATCGTAGTTGTTGCTTGATTTCGGCCACCAAAATGTGAAGGCTGTCCCGCTGTTTTCAATCCGACCACTTTTGGCGACAAAGAAAAACCGCAAAAGACACCAATTTATCAGCAGGTTTTTTGTTCGCCGTTTTCTCCTACTCTTTTGCTCTTGGTATCTGAAATGGACCCAACTCTGAAGAACTTAATATCTGAGGAAAGTCTTCAATCAAGCAAATATTTCTCTTTAAAGAAGATCTTTCCTTATCGCAGTCACTGTAATATGGTAAGAAAATTCGTCATGCAGACAGCTAGTCGCCAGTGCTTGGTGCCATTGCGCGCCAGATAGTTTCAAGTTATTTTTTCCGCTGATTGGCCATTCAACGTTGAAAAGTCGGTTATTTTACCGCCAAGACCATGGTATTAGTCTTAATGAGATGTGAACAGCTAGAGCTGTCAAACAAGGAGTTTAAGGCTATGAAATGTTTCTTGGATTTTGATCGTGTACTACCTTGACTTTGGACTGGAAGAAACCTTTAAATAGAGAATGATTATCTTCAGTTCCCTCCTGAGAAAAACTTTTCACTATGGAACATCTTGCGACAGGGTACAGTCTGTCAAAACTCAGCTTAGGAAATCGTTCTGGTCACCCAAAATACCCAAAATACCGATAACAAACGTGTCGTCCAACTAACCGGGAGGAAAAAATGATCATGTAGGGATCTGAAACTGGCTGTACTCAGCAACGAACGCTGACCTAGCTCATACAGGTGGCGCTATTCTAAAACAGGAGGTCGACAGTCAGTTCCATTGAAGACTTAGCTGAATTAGCAATGTTGTGGAATGTAGGTAGGTCGGGTGCGCTGTTTGGTTGTTGGTCTGTTCGCCGAGCTTGGCAGTTGGATTGCAAACGTTTCATCACCAATCGAGGTGACATCGTCAGTGCAGGGTTGAGTGGGTGAATTCCTCCTCTTCTGCCTGCGATTATATAGCTTCTAAACAGTATTTGGTAGTTCTGGACCACGACGATGACCGTTTCCAGAGCTACCGGGTACTGTTTAGAAGCTATATAATCACAGACAGAAGAGGAGGATTTCATCCACTCAACCCTGCACTGACGATGTCACCTCGATTGGTGATGAAACGTTTGCAATCCAACTGCCAAGCTCGGCGAACAGACCAACAACCAAACTTAGCTGAAGTTTTACTACTAACCTTTGGTTTTCAGGGTAACGGTCCTAGAAAAGTCCAGGACGGTTCGAAAATTCAAAGAAAATTAAAACTGACAAAAAAACCTAAGGAAACACTCTTTTTTGCCTGGAGAGAACGTGAACTGTTTAGTATTTTGGGGGTGAATCGCACAAACTATTACTTATCTAACTGTCTTTTCGGGTGATCTTCGGCTCTCTTGATGTTGCTCACCAAAGTGAAAATGTGAAGATTACGCACGCAGGCAAGGAAGAAGTACCCACTCAACTGCGCACTGATGATGTAAAGATCACCTGTTTATCATCTTTTTTATTCGAGTAAAACCGACCAAGATGAGTAACAAGCTTAATCCGTCGTTTAAAAATGCAATGTCAAGATGCATCGTGCTGCTTGGTTTTGAGTACGACCAAAAAACAGCCTGTCTTCTCTCTCTCCACATTCCGTCTCCGGCCTTGATTTTGTAATGAAATGCCGTTGGTATAAACTTATTCTACTTATTTTATGCAATTCACAGTGACGCAGAAACAGAACCAAGGAATGAAATTTTGAGAACCATGCTCAATCGAGCATTCAAGCAGTATGAGAACTGTTGAACAGGTGTGATGATTCCTCTGTGGAGAGAATTCCGCATATTAAATAATTCTGGACTGAAAATTTATGGATGTATACCGAGGGTGATTTTTATTCAGACAAGGTCGAAACCTTCCGATCAACCAGATAACTGCACCTAAAAGCATTCTTCGGTCACACTTCAAAAACTCCACAGAAAGTACAGGGAGCCAGTTGATCTCCTTCCACCTCCAACTAACCTGGATCGCTGAGGAATGAACAAGATGACACAGCAGCCTCAAACATATTTCGTTTTATTGAATTCTATTCATTCGGGCGTCAAAGGAAGCTGAGTAGAAGAACAGTCGAGCTGTTTAATGAGAGGTTGATGTGTGTATTGGATTAGTTTGGATGATCAAAAGCAGCTTAAATGTGAAAGTGTCATCCGAGGAACGGTTGTCTTTATGCAATGTAAATTTCGGACATTTCGTGCGAATTGGAAATGAATTCGTCTGGAACCGTCGGGGAATCTTTAACAGCCTCAAAATTGGAATAGTGGGAGAGATAAATTGTCATTCCCGTATGGGGGGAATGGAAAAATTGTAACATGAATTGTAACACTTCGAGGGCAACCGATGCCATTCGATTTGTGAATGCTCCGATTCAGTTCATTT